AATGCAAGGATGTCTGTCCATTGGGTATGGCTTTCTTTGGGGTGATGGTTTTGAGACCAGGTTCCTTTCATCTCATGGCCCTGCCATAACGTAGTGCCTCAGAGTCCGCTGCATTCAGTTAAGTGAATGAGGAGCAATAATAGAGAAGGCACCCCAACTTCTTAAAAACTGCTCCTCAAAAACTACGTATCAATTCTGCCCCAAAACATGGCAGAAGCGAACCACCTGCCCACAGAAAGATTTAAGGGAAGCTAGGAAATGCCAGTCTCTGCCTGCGCAACTGGCTCCTGGTGAGAACTTACAGTTTGAAATGGAGAACATAAATTTTTGGTAAACAACTCCCAAAAAATTTATGAGAAAGTACACATACGTCAACTACCCAATCCCATATAAATGTTTATTAGGAGCTAAAAAGTTCATTGTGTAGGTATTAGTGTCAATAGAACATGTCATTTGCTTTTTTTTTCTGTGATTTTTGTCCTATTACTATCAAAAATAAGATTCAGTTTTAAGAATTACCCAAGGCTGCCATCTGTGATTAAAGAGCTGTTTCTTTCTTTGAAGACTTAATTATATCAGCTTTGGATCTGGGATATTTTAGCTTTGAATAATAGTGGATAGCATATTGTTTGAAAAACTATTATTTATATTTTCTATATTCTTTCTCAAGTTTTCTTTGTCTAGTGACAGAGATTTTCCCAATAGTCTGTAAGTATTATATAACTGTAGCTTTAGATGCTCATAATTTTGTATCTGAGACCTAAATCCCTCTTTAATTAATTGGATAGTTTAAGACTTCAAAAGATATCTGTTGTATTTTTTCATTAAAAATGACATTTATGGATACAAAGAAAATAAAATTTGTCCTCAAGACTCTGAAGATGAGACCCTGCTAATATTTGATCAGACCCTCACTGGATTTCCAGTTGCCTAATTGCAAAATCCTCAAAGTGTTCTGTAGTATTTATAAGATTCATTAATGAGAAATAATGTATTTTGATTTTAGGATCTCATTTCCAAAATTATGTAAAAGGGGGCTTCTTCTATATCGGAGGTAACAAAATACCTGTGGTTTTCTGTGAGACATATTTGGAAATGGATACTTTTACTAATCTGTAGTGATTCTCATAACCAGCGTCTGTGGCAAGAGTACATGCTGCTTTATTGTGGTTTGCCGATGTGTCTATAACTTTAGTTACGTGGTTCATTTGTGTTCTTACCTTCTAATTTGTTCTTCAAACAATTGGGCTTACCTTTTTAAATGAAATCTTTTACTGTGGTTACAATTCACAGCTTATGGTCAGTTGTAAAATTATCCAACAATTCAAAGTTACTAGTGCCTAGAACAAGTTGTATTAGTGTATATTCACTTGTCTTTGTTTGCTTGTTCATATAAATGCTATATACCTAAAATAATCTCCTCCAAAAAAATGACATTGGAAGTTAATTAGTCTTGGATCATTATCCTGCAGCTTTATGTTAAATATGATAAAATATTACATGCAAGTCTTGTTAAATGAACAATGATATAAATAGTACCATCTACAATGGAAGATTAACAAGAATCTTTTCATCATCACAAATGGTTGAAAGGATAAATTTCTAAAAAACATGTACTTTTTCCTTTAAACTACAATTTGCTTAACAGGCTGTCCTACATTTTATTTGAACAAAAGCATTTTACTCATATAGCTAAGAGATAAGAGACATAAGGAGAGTAATCATAATAGGATTTAAATAATTCAATTACATTTCTTTGCCAATAAAATAAAGCATATTTTCTTGATTTTTTATAAGCTCTGAAATATGTCTTTCAGTTTACTAATATTTAAAAAAAAAACACAATACTGTCATCTTCCCAGATCGAATATTACTGTTTTCCAACAACAGATTTGGCAACCATTCAGAAGCAGAAAATATTCTGGTTTTGAGACTTTCAAACATATCTGAATTTCTGTTGAATTCTCTCCAAATCAGGTCAGATGAACTATCTCTGCAGGAATATTTGCCAGAGGTACTGTATGTTCAAATGGAAGCGTCTCATGTTTCATCGTCAGCTTCATTTTTTTTCCCAGCCCTCTAAATTTCTCATACTAAGTAGCAACATCTCCTTTTATGAACCATGGGGTATTTATTAATTAAACAGAGTCAACAGAGCTGATTTATTTTCTCTTTTCTCAGCTAAATTACCAAGCACACAAATCAAAGAGAAAACATTTCTAATACTAGAATGTTCTCCAAGTCAGTAAATCTGGGATTATCTCATCACAGCGATTATGTCAAAGCTCTTTAGCCACAGTCCTCACTAGGACAGAAAAGGGAATGGCATATTCAAAATTGGCCCCACCCCAGCTATTAGAGGGAGAATTCCAAGTTTTTCTTTCAGTGACCAGGAAGCCCTAATTATCAATAAAACCACCCACGATCATTTATTGAATATCTACCATTTGCCAGATGTTTGACATGTATTCTCTGAGTTTCAGAGACACTGTCCCACTGATTGTGAATGTTTTTGCCAGAGTTCCAAATGTGCAGTGTGTACATGAAACACAGACTGTATCAGTCTATTGCTTTAGTTTATTTTTTACTAGTGAGTAGCGTTACAATTGCATGTTTGATGCTAAGGGATGTGTGTGTGTTTAAACATGTATGGAAAAATATATTATAAGATTAATAAGATGTGATGGTTTTACCTTTATATTTGGAGTAAGAACGGATGTTGATTCGTTGATTAAAAAAAAGTGTGGGTGATACTTTCTAATATTCAATGTTCAGAGTCTAGCTATATTTTTATGTTAGACATTTTGCTGTTGAGTATTTTAAATTACCAGTTTAATACAATGTCCATATACTGGCAGTTATAATATTTTAAGCATGAGAATATTATTTGTAAAAGGCAAAATAGCAAAGCATGTACCTGAATGTAGCTTTGGGTCCCTGTTCCTATTTTACTTTCTTCTCGGCCTCCCCACTTAGGGAATATTGGAGGAAGAATTTAAAATAATTTCAATTACAGTCTCTGTAGACTCACATATTGTGGATAAACATTAGCGTATATAAACCAAGATTTTAAAATAAGCAGAGCAGCCTCATCATGCTTTTTCCTTTCAGTTTGAAGCATGTATTTTTTACAGGATGTGTCCTCATTTCACCTTGCAGTGACATTCCAATCCTCTTGTGTTACACCCGTTAGTGTTTCTTTAAAACTGCTTTTAATTTAGGCAGCTTTCCAGCTTTCTGAAGGCCTTGAAATGAAATAGCCCTGTGCTGAATCAAATGCTTTAGTACATTTAGCCTTTATAATAAGAAATTCCACTAAACCATTTTAAAGAGATAATAGTAATGTGGATCCTTGTCAGGAGAATAATGATTCTCTGTACCACTTAACCACACTCTGAAGGTTTAAAACTATGAAGATGTCTGGGCCTTGTCACTTTCACCTTGATACTTAAACAACTGGAACTTCTACACCCCATTGTGAAGCCATCGGTAATCTTATTCCATGGAAAGATACATTTTTAATATTTAAACAGAAGAGCTGAGCGATTTGTACAGAAGGATACGAACACACGTTTAGAATACAGCAATGAAAACAAACCAACTCAGTAATGACAGTGGGACTGACCAGTTAGTTGTACTAAGTCCAACATTTTCAATGACTGCCATCGACAGCTAACAAAGTGAGTGCATTTTCGTGATAGTTCCATTGTGTTCTGTGGAACACTAGCTCTGTGTGTGCTGATAGGGACAGGTTAGTGTGGATAATATTGCCTGTTCTTGGAGACTCATACATTAGTGGCTTAAAGCTCTGGAAATTCCTGTGGTAAAGAAACTTATTTGACTATGCTTAACCAAGTGAATCTCAAGCTTATTTGACCATTGAGTTCTGTTCTTCTCATGTCATTTATCAAAATCTCTTAGAAGACATTTTGGAAATGTTGCTCTATAATGTAGAAGATACTTACAGATCCACAACCAATGAGGCACCATAAATTCAGAGGTTAAAAAAATAGTTCCTGCCCTCAAGGAACTTTGTATGTCATAAGAAGGACGAGAAGCAAGCAGGAATTTGTAATATAGTATAAGAAGTAATGAGGGTTGGCCGGCGCTGCGGCTCACTTGGCTAATCCTCGGCCTGCAGCGCCAGCACCCCGGGTTCTAGTCCAGATCGGGGTGCCGGATTCTGTCCCCGTTGCTCCTCTTCCAGTCCAGCTCTCTGCTGTGGCCCCAGAGTGCAGTGGAGGATGGCCCAAGTCCTTGGGCCCTGCACCCTCATGGGAGACCAGGAGAAGCACCTGGCTCCTGGTTTCGGATCAGTGTGGTGCACTGGCCACAGCGGGCCAACCGAAGCGGCCACTTGGTGGGGTGAACCAATGGAAAAAGGAAGGCTTTTCTCTCTCTCTCTCTCTCTCTCTCTCTCACTCTCACTGTCCACTCCTGTTAAAAAAAAAAAAGAAGAAGAAGTAATGAGATCATGGCACATATTAGATGGAATTGTAAGGGAGGTTTCTTCTTTAGAATTAATATGAATTAACTGCTTAGGAAAGAAGACTGTGACAGAAGTGTCATTGAGTTAGGTAAAAAGACAAGGTATTCCTTACCATATGGCATGTATTGATCTAGAAGGCATTGGTTGGAGCCAGTTTTTTAACAAGTAAATGCCAGTGCATGCTTTGTCACTTAGGAAGATCTTATGGCTGGAGTTGAGAATGAATTAGAAAAGAGCTAGAACAGAGACAGGGAGACAAGCTGTTTCAGTGACCCAGGCTGTTGCCCTGGGAAAGGAGGGGAGAGACAATTCTAGAGATGTTCCAGCTACACTTGCTGGTTGATTGAATGTCAGGTAAGGAAATGAAGACATCAAAGATGATGCACTTGCCTGCATTCCTTTTTTACTACAGGAAGAAAAACGATTTTCCTTGAACACATCTGAGATTAATAAAAACTGTTGCATCCAGGTCAGTCTTTCAGATTCTAATTGCATTCCTGTTCTTCTCAAGTCATGTAACACAGACCACATCCTGGATCCATCCCGTGATGAGTGTCCTGAACCTGTCCTGCTCAGAGGAGAATGAAGAAGATTGCTGTAGAGAACTTCCTGACCAGAAAAGTTGATGGTATTCTGTAGGAAGTGGAGCCCTTACGATCTTCCAGCACCCCGTCTTCAAGTATGCCTTGAGCAGGAACATGGAGCACCCAGTTCTGAAATGCAACAGTCTAAAATAGAGGTTAAACACATACTCCTTGTTGAAGTATGAAGTGGAGACTCGATTGAGGGTGTTTTTGTTAAACTTTTTGATATTACTAAATATGTTTAAAAAATCAATTACCACTACACTAGCTGGTTAGGAGAAATCTAGTCCTGTGTTTTGAAGTCACATGCAATTAGCCATTATCATATGTATGCTTTTTTCTTATATAATTAGATCTTTATAATTTTATATGTAGCTTTTTATAGATACCAGATTTTTTTAAGAATTATATTGAAAATTTTTGTGAACATGATGAAACACTTCATTTACTTGATATTTCACTAAGCCATTATATTCATATCTTACGAAAGTGATCTCAGCAAGCTTTAGGGGTTTAGGGATCACATTTACACATCAATCTCACGGGCTACTGGATACCGCTTATGTCTTTATGGGGCTTTCTAATTGACAAGATGCTTTTCCTAGCTCATTTTATTTAAACCGTACAACATGCCTGTGAGGCTAATCTAATGGGTACTTTTTAATTCTAATATTTCACTTAGGAAAATATTGGTTCAGAGAGAGGCAGCACCCTGGCAGGGTAGAGACTCACAACTAAGTCTTCTGATTCTATGTCCAGGCCCCTTTCCTCCCCACACCCTGCTGTCCCGCCAGAGGAGACAAGCAGAGCACCATGGTTCTGTTGATGCAGCTGGCTGCACAGCTGTGCATTCCAGAGACATTCAGAAGGCACCTTTTCATTCAAGCATGGCCCCTCCATAACCCCACTCTTTTCCCCCTATGAACCCTTCCTGCTTCTGCACCCCCCAAACACTCACCAGGTGGGAGCCCCCTTCTGTGATGTCATTTCAGCAGGCTGCGTTCAGCATCTCATATGCTTCTAAAGTAAAGGGGCCAGCATTGATGAGTGGTTTGCCCTACTTAGGTTGCCCCCGCCGAAGGAGCATTTGCAAGCAGTTGGTGAGAAGAGGGGTATCCTAAATACTGTTACTCTGCTTGACGTAAGACAGAGGCTTAGAGCCCTTTAAATATCATGGAAGACTCATCACCATTTTATGGATGAGTAAACCGAGACACCAAGAGTTCATAGAGTGAGTTAATGGCGAGGTCAAGATTACACCTATGTCCTGTGTCACTTACTGCTGAATTTTATATGTCTGTGTTCATCTATACATTCCTGAATATATTTAAAATTTAGGGCTTAATGTCTAGAGGGATAATAATACAATGTCAAATTCAGACTGACAGGCAGTCATTAGCCCTGAGAAAAGTTTCAGAATGGCTGGAGAGGGCTTGTGTTTGGCCTGACAGCTATTTGAATATTAAGAAGCCTCAGGGAGACTCATTTTGAGAGAAGTCCCCAGAGAATGCTGTTTCCTTGCACCCCTCAGAGGTGAGTAGGTTCTCAGATGCCTGGGGTTCCTTTTCTGAGTTAGTATGTATAACTGTGGAAGTACAGACTTTTTGTTGTTGCCAAATTAATGGTATGACATTTGCCTCCCCCTGCTAGGAATGTTTTCTAATTTGTTTCTCCGGTCACTTGAGATCAAGGTCTGTGGGCACGTATTTCACTGCCACCTCATCCATTAGCTGCTGTTTGCTACGACTTTTATCCCTGTTTTACCAAATACCTACTTGAAAAGTCTTAGGAAAACTGTAATATTTATGGAGCGTTTTGTGCCATACTGATGAGGAGTTTGCTTATAGCATTTTTTTTTTTTTTTTGACAGGCAGAGTGGACAGTGAGAGAGAGAGACAGACAGAGAGAAAGGTCTTCCTTTGCCGTTGGTTCACCCTCCAATGGCCGCTGCGGCCGGCGCACCGCGCTGATCCGATGGCAGGAGCCAGGTGCTTCTCCTGGTCTCCTATGGGGTGCAGGGCCCAAGGACTTGGGCCATCCTCCACTGCACTCCCGGGCCACAGCAGAGAGCTGGCCTGGAAGAGGGGCAACCGGGACAGAATCCAGCGCCCCGACCGGGACTAGAACCCGGTGTGCTGTCGCCGCAAGGTGGAGGATTAGCCTAGTGAGCCGCGGCGCCGGCCGCTTATAGCATTTTATTTTCTTCTTAAAACCACTCCATGAGATAGGAACTGTAATTATCCTCATTTTGAAAAGAAGAAACCTAAGTTTAGAGAGAGAGTTGGGAGTCCTGGCCTCAGGGTCACCTAGCACCTTCATGTAGGACCTGGGGTTCACGGCAGGTCTGTAATTCCAGAGCACATTCTCAAAACCAATGTGCAGAGCTCCTTAGATTCATGGTCTGTGGGTCAGTTTTATAAAATAGCAGATACCAGTTCAGTGCCTTAAGGAACTTTCTGGTAGTTAGAGCTCATCAAAACATAATTCTCAGGAGAGCATGGAAGCATTGTTCCATCAGATTACAATTTATCTGAACTCCTTGTTATGGGAATGTTGCTGAAGAGGTTCAGGATCGTGGACCAGTTTATACTTCTGTGACCTCTGCACCAATAAGATAAGAATGTGCCTTAAAACACATTCAAAGAAACAGTGGTAAAAGCTCTGTTAAGAATTCGTTTCCAGGAGCCAGTGCTGTGGCACAGAAGGCTAAGCCTCCATCTGTAGTGCCAGCATCGCATACGGATGCCAGTTCACATCCCAGCTGCTCCTCTTCTGATAAGTTCTCTGCTTATGGCCTGGGAAAGCAGCAGAAGATGGCCCAAGTGCTTGGTCCCCTGCACCCACATGGGAGACCTGGAAGAAGCTCCTGGCTCCTGGCTTCAGATCAGTGCAGCTCCAGCTGTTGCAGCCATTTGGGGACTAAACCAGTGGATGTAAGACCTTTCTGTCTGTCTCTTCCTCTCTCTGTATTTCTGCCTCTCAAATAAATCAATTGATCTTTAAAAAAAATCCTTTTCCAATGCAGATAGAGCCCCCCAAGTTATTTTTTGGTGACATATGCAAAGCTACTCTTTTTTTTAACACACAATAATGCTGTCAGTATGGGCATCAAAAACTCTTCTCCATTGCCCACTGACTCAGATTGTAGGGCTAGAATATCTGAATATTACTATGTCCCTCCATCCCACTTCCTTAGAGTAGCCATCCTGCTCATTCATTCCCTGAAGATAGGCACTGGGCACCAACAGGGTGGCAGGTACTGTGGTAAAGTAGGGCAGTAGCTCATTTCCTGGGGTCTGCTTAATATTCCTTTTTTTTTTTTAACATATTCTTAGCTGGAATTAAGAAAGTTCTTTTTAATTTTTGAATTATAAAATAACCTAATTTTGTTTTAAAAAAAAATGAAGCACTATGAACATGAATAAAGTAAAAGAGTTATCATCTTATTTTCCAGAGGTAGCCATCACCAATACTTAGGTGAATATTTTTACTCAAAGGAAATCATATTGTTAAACAGCTCGCTTTTCACTTAGTTATTGTGGTCATCTTATGTCAATACATAGATTAATGTTATATTTTAAATGTCTGCATAAACTGTCACTACCAAGATAACCCATAATCTGTGTAGCCAATTTTGTTGATGAACACATAAGATGTATTAAATTTTTTTCTAACAGTGTCACAATAAATCACTTTCCTTATCTTTCTCTGCACTCTAGTGCCAATATGTCTGTAGTGTGAATACATTCAGAAAATAAACCATTAGGTTAAAGTGTAGTCAAAACTAGGCGAAAGGTGCTTATTCTAATTTTGGTAGAAGGATGGGCATTTGGCACGGTAGTTAAGATGCCACTTGGGAAGCCCACATCCCATATCCGAGTTTCTGGGTTCAAGTCCTGGCTTCAGTTCCAGTTCCAGCTCCCTGCCATAATGTGCACTGTGGCAGGCAGCAGGTCTGCAGGTGATGTCTCCATTAGTTAGGTCTTTGCCATCTACATCAGAGACCAGATCTAATTCCCAGCTGCCGGCATTGGCCTGGCCCAGCAACAGTTGTGGGCATTTGGGGATTGAACTACCAAATTCATTCCCTTCATTCTTTCTCTCTCTCTCCTTCTCTCTCTCTCTCTTTCTCTGCCTTCCAAATAAATAAAATTTTATAAAAATAAAAATCTGCATTTTGATAGGTTTTCATAAAAATTCTCCTAGATAGAAGTAGGACCAATGTATGCTACCACCAGTAGTGTATGAGAGCTTTTTTTCTATATGAGAGGACTGTTTTTAGTCTAAAGATTATAAGTAGCTTTTCTGATTTTTTTTAACCCATGGAAGAGAGAGTTTTCCATCATTGTCCGAGAACCTGAATTTTTTATTCATTAGGTTTTGAGTTTCCTTTAGCAGCAGAGACTGACTTGCTGCATATAGGGCAGTCTAAAAGTGAGCAGTTCTCTATAAAACAAATTCACCTTTACTATCATCTTGTCCTACTTTATGTAGAACAGTGAGGAGGACAAACTTTTAGGTGAGCTACCTTGCATGAAAACCCTCAGTTAAGTGCAACACTGAATACAAATGCACCTGCAAGTTCTTTGGGCCTCAGTTTCCCCATCTCTGGCTAACAGGGACTGTAATCTTTTGCCTCCTCCCAAACCAGTTCAACTCAGCAAACATTTCCTGAGCAACCTATGAAATGCCAGACAGAATGCAAAGTTTTGTGACCATGCTGCATAGCCCAGATTCCCAAATCAGAGAACTCATCATCTATAATCTTTTTCCTGTCTTTTCTTTCTTCTCAAAAGAAAAAAAAAGCTGCTATTTTTTTTCCATAAAGGAGAAAGAAGTGAGGGGTTTATTTGTTAAGAACTTCCAAAGAGAAACCCTTTATCACTCTCTTAAATTTTAATAATTCCAAAATAATATTAGTACTGCTTGACTAGAAAAGAAAAAAGGGAACACGCTGTATAAAGAGATTCTCCAATAATAAATGCAAAGCAGCTGTCAAAATAGAGAGTCAAATGATACTTTCATAAAGTGTTTGCACAATTAGAAAATGTTATCCTTTTTCTAGGGAGTAAAGGAACATTTTTATTTTCTCTATTAAGTGAATACAACTTTTTCAAGGGTCGGCACACTTGACGTTTTTACTACACATATACAGAAAGAACCAAACTAACATTGAAACAGCCTGCATGTTGTCTTGCATATTGTTTTGGAGAAGATGAAAAGAATTAAACAGAATATGCCTGTGGATCTTTACTTTAGAAAAGAGATACCCAAGGTGTTTGAACCACAACCATTCCACATGTAACATAATAATGTGTCTGTATGATGATTTTATAAATATTAAATGTAATACTGTGTAATAGGACATTTTACATTTAAACAAATACAACTTTTGTTCATTTTGTGTGTGTGTGTTTGACTTTTATTCTTGGGAGTGGGGTTCGTCTGAGAGAAAGGGCAATCAGTTCCTTCTTCCACCCCATTCCCATTCCCCTATTACCAACCGATTTTCAATCTCTTCACCCTGTTTGTTCCTTTTACATTATTTTTTTCTTGTAAAGATTGATTTTTCTATTTATTGAAAGGCAGGGTTACAGAAAGAAAGAGACAGACAGAGATCCTCCATCCGCTGGTTCACTCCCCAAATGGCCACAATGGCCAGGGCTGAGACTGGCCGAAACTAGAAGCCTGGAGCTTCTTTTGGGTCTCCCACGTAGGCCAGAGGGCCAAGCACTTGGTCCATCTTCCTCTGCCTTTCCAGGAGCATTAGCAGGGAGCTGGGTGGGATGTGGAGCAGCTGTGTTTCAAACCAGCACCCATATGGCATGTCAGCATCACAGGCTTAACCTACTACACCACATCGGCCCTCCCTTTACATTCTTTATCAATTTAACATGATCTATATTTGTTGTCTTTCTCAGTAAAGGGAGTAATAATGAGGGTAAGCTCCATGAGGGGAGGAATTTTGTCTCATGTTCTCCATTGTATCCTCAAGATCTAGTACACTGCCACCTATCATATAGTAGGTGTTCAAAGCATGTTTGCTGAATGGAATACGAAATATACTGTTCATGAGTAAGACTTAGTTCCCAATTTAGCTCTTACCTTCTTATGTTCATTTGTTCGTTTAAATACCCACCAAGTGCTACTAAATGCCAGACAGTTTACTAAGAACTAATATACAATATAATGACAGATGTGATTCTAGCACTCATGTTATTTGTAATCTATACAAAGGACATGCAACTGAAATTAACAAGGCATTTTTCATTTATTTTCTTTCTTCTTTCTTAAGCCCGTATTCTTCCTTCTTAAGCCCATATTTGAACTAATAGGTCATTTGATGTTCATTATCTGAAGGAAAGGTGTGATATCAGGAAGCAATGGAAAACATGTTCTTTGGGAAACTGGAAAAGATTTATGGTTTAGGTAAAAGATTTGAGAGCACTTGTGATGAGAGGAGCGAAGATTTCCTACTTCCTGTCTAAGAAATAATTCCTCTGCAGGGAGGAAAGAAGAACAAAAATGTTGATAGGGCTCAGAGAAAAGGGCCTGGTCCCCACCTCTTGGTGAAGTTCCTGGGAGAAGCAAAACCTCAGTTGCCTTGTTAGTTTTGAGAACAGAGGAAGGACATTCGTCACTGTCCCCAGGAATGGAAATGATCGTGTAGCGTGTCTAGGCATATGGGACTTTGGCAAATTTCAGTGCACTTCCTCTAGCATCAGATGATTATCATGAACCCAAAAAGATCACAAAAGTAGCAGGGAGACCTGAGTGAGGACTTTGTTCCATTCAGTACCCATGGCTTCTCAGCAGAAACTGGCTTGAACAGTGACATCAGATCATCCAAACCCAGGAGCTGTGGCTCCAGATAAGCCTCTGCCATAGTCTGAATGTGTGTGACCCCAAAGGTGACAGAACTAAGAAGTCAGACCTTTGAGAGATGGATAGGTCATGAGGGCTCCACCCTCATAAATGGAATTAGTGCCTTAAGAAAAGGCTTGGGGGGCTGTAGCGGCCACTTGGGGGGTGAACCAACGGAAAAAGGAAGACCTTTCTCTCTCTCTCTCTCTCTCACTCTCTCACTGTCTAATTCTGCCTGTCAAAAAAAATGATAAAAATAAAATAAAATAAAAGGCTTGGGGGAATCTGTTCTTTACATTGTGATAACATGACAAGAAAGTTCCATTTTGGAAACACACAGCAAGACCCTCCCCAGACACTAAATCTGTGGGTGCTTTGATCTTGAACTTCCCAGTCTCCAGAAGTGTGAATCGTAAATTACTTTTTATAAGTTACCCACTCCGGGATATTTTGTTATAGCATGCCCAGAGGACTAAGCACCACAGAGTTTGGTGGTAACTCCAAAGAAATTAGGGAACCAAAGTTTACTGAGACTAATGTTGGTGATTATAATTTATTCCCTATTCCCAATGCTTCGTACCTCATGGATGGAGCTTCATGAGAAGCCTTTTGTCCATTCACCAAGCAGAGATTTACCTCACTAGTGAATTTAGGATAAAACACAAAGCAGGTACTATTTCTAGGACATTCCTTAAATAAATTCCCTTTTTTTTTCTTTTCTGCTCCATGCAAACATTGCCTATTTGTTTCTTAGCCCTCTCTCATTTCTTGACTGGAAGATTGCAACATAGGCAAAATACCTTCTTTCCTCTCTGTCATACCTGTCCTCGTCAATCTTCCCCTCCACATTTCTTTCATAATTATCTTTTTTAAATGCAAATTTTATTCTATTACCTCTTGACTATTTCCCTAGCACCTACTGCTATCTAACCCCTGGCTTTCTCTCCAGCCTCGTTTTTAATCCCCAACAGTCACACAAATAATCTATTCTCTCTGACTGTGAAGCCTCTCGTGCATCATTCCCTTATCAGATTTTTCTCACCCATCAAGACTCGTTCTGGTTTCACCCTTCTCTGAAGATCTCCTTGAAGACATGTCGCCTTCCCCATGACCATGGTTGGCTCTTTAGATGCCATGCTTGTGTTTACACACTTTTGTCCACCCCTCTTCCCACTCAGGAATTCTGGAGCAAGAACCTCTACTCCAAGAGAGTTGTTGACGTGTTTATCCAGATACTCTTTGGTTACTTTATTAATTTATTAACATATTTTTATCTAGTGAGCTGGGTAACTGACTCTTGCTTGCCATCTGTGCTTCCTTTCTCCAAGTAACAACAGAAAATGGGATTCTGGTTAATGAGCATGTCATTCAATATCAGCAACTATGTGAATGAATCAGGTGGAGGTGGAAGGTAGAAAACAGGCCCAGATAGTCAGTTTCTTGTTTCTTGTTCTTTTGTTATTTTAAGGTATTTTCAACTAAAACCCTGGAATTTTAGGGTTTAACTGAGAGGATTCACATTCTCTATCATTGCATTCCTTTTAGTAAAGTCTCCATCACACTCTATGTGTAAATAACTTGGGTAGTACAGTATGATGTGTTTCTCTTGTACTGGTCTCTGTGTCCTTTAAATCAGAGTCCATATAGTTTTTTTTAGCCATCACATAAGACATGGAGTCTCTCTGGAATGGAATATGAAAAGATGTTTGCCATGCATTTAATCCAAAGCCAGCATTAAATTTTTGTGATTACCACAAAAAACTCAATGTTTAAAGAGTAAACAAGACATGTCATTTATAGTTTTCAAAGAGACTTTCAGCTGTTTCCTGCTTCTGGTAGGAAAAGACAAGTAGGATGAAAAAGAAAATGAGATAGGAGCTTAACTGAGCATATCTAACTAACCAGTTCCATTACTGGTGGAACAATATAATAGATTTTGCTGAAGAATGAAGTATTTGTTACATAGGTTGGCCATAAAGTTCATAGTGTGAAGGATTGTGAAGTAAAAACTCAAACACTGTTGATTTGCCCAAGGTTTTGAAGAAATAACAACAGAATGACTTGGGTATAGGAGGGTAGAGAAAACCCAAAATCTAAATACAATGTTCGTACCTTTCAAGGCCAACATCATTCAAACTTCTGATTTTGTGGGTTGCTTAATCATGTTGAAGAATTGATTTGGCATAAGGGAGCTGTAGACACCCTCAGGATGCTGAAAGTGCAGGAATTATCCTGCCTAAAACTAACCATACTGGAATTGTTTGACTTTTCTCTTTCACACTGGAGAAATTCATCTTTCATCAATCAATGTGGGAAGGAAAAACAAAGACAAAACAAGCTGAGTATATATTAAAGTTATCTTGGAATATAGACAGTTCAGGTCAGGAGTCTCTCTGGAATGGAATATGAAAGATGTTTATGAGCAGGTCCCATTTCTTTCTAGTGAAAACTTTTGTCATTCAGAGAAATAAGACATATGTTTAATCTAAAGCCAGCATTAAATTTTTGTGATTACTACGCAAAAACTGAAAACTAGCACTAAACTAAATGTGCGGACTAATTCCCTGAGTGATCAAAGTTTTCAAAATAAGGAAAATCTGAGGAAGTACAATATGTATATGCATGCAAGAATATACCACCCCCCCCCCCAGAGCAATAAGAAACATTCAATAGACTGAAGTCTGCAAAATTTTAAGAATATAACTGTGGGGCTGATGCTGTGGCTCAGCAGGTTAACATCCTGGCCTGAAGTGCCGGCATCCCATATGGGCACTGGTTCAAGACCCGGCTGTACCACTTCTAATCCAGCTCTCTGGCATGGCCTGGGATAGCAGTAGAAGATGGCCCAACTTGATCCCTTGCACCCACATGGAAGACCCAGAAGAAGCTCCTGGCTCCTGGCTTTGGATCGGCGCAGCTCCAGTCCTTGCAGCCAATTGGGAAGTGAACCATCAGATGGAAGACCTCTCTCTCTCTCTCTCTCTCTCTCTCTGCTCTCCTCTCTCTCTGTAACTCTGACTTTCAAATAAATAAATAAATAAATCTTAAAAAAAAGAATATAACCATATTCTATTGGTTCCACATTCATCAAAGCACTCCCACTACAAATCACAGCAAGTGGGAACTTCTTATGAATTTAACTTCAGTTTTCACAGTATTTCTAAGATCATTCATAGTTTATATTTCTTCTGCTGAGTACCATATGCTCAAATTAGTATTCATCAGTTTTAGGAATCATCACTAATCTGTATCTGAAAATGAAAATGGGCTTAGAAAATATAAATTAGTACTTAGAATATTTATCTAATATCCCTTTGAGTAAATCTAAAAGAGCTGTTCCAACATAGACTTTTATCATGTGTATATAAAGGAAAATGAAACGTAATATTCCTAAAACCTCCAAACATTCAGAATCAAACTCTTCGGAATCTCCTTGTTGAATGAGAGCTGTCATCATCTGCATTTTCCACAAGCGCATCTTTTCTGCCATCAAAATGAAGCCATTTCTTTAAAGAGTGCTCCAGTGTCTCTGGAATTTTT